CTCACTGGGGAAAAAAACACCAAATGTGGGGTATTCAATAAAGAAGATACAAATATCACACTACATTTATAAAGTATGAAAGTGTGAACTTTCTAGCACAGAATACAAGCTGCATGGACCAGAAAGCAGTAACAGGGTCTGAGGACACAACTAAGATGCTAGTAAGCCCTTTGCACCCCTCATCTTCACACCCAGCTTTAAGTATTTCCACTGTTCACTTAGAAATGATGTAGAAATGGTTTTATGATTGACTGCTATTTATGAAAATTCTAAGGCAAATGGGGCTGGGGAGATGGCACAGTGGCTAAAGAGCTTGCCGTGCAAGTGTGAGAATGGAGTTCAGATCCCTGACACCCACATAAACCTGGGCAGCCTGATGGTCTGCTGCAATCCCAGCTCTCAGGAGCCAAAGGTGATCCCAGGGACAAGGAGACTAGAAAAACTGCTGAAGCAGCAAGTTCTAGATTCACTGAGACCTTGCCACAGTAAATAAAGAGGAAGGTGATCAAGAAAGACACCCAATGTCAACCTGTCCTCCACACTGTGTGCACACACACGCATTCATACCAGTGTACACACACAAACATGCACACCATACACAAAAATATTTAGGAAGAAGTTACTTAGGCCATACTCATGCAAATTTGGGGTAAATATAATTACAGGTAAAGGTGATTTTTTTCATTTTAAGTTCTTCTGCAAGAATAACTTCCTAGAGCAATCTTTCTTTAAAGATTTATTTTTATTTTATGAGTATGAATGCTCTGCTTGCTTGTATGTATTTGCACCAACACATGCAGTGCCTTCAGAGGCCAGAAGAAGGCATCAAATTCCCAGAACTGGAACTACAAAAGGTTGTGAGTTGCTATCTGGGTGCTGAGAACCAAACTTGGGTCCTCTGCAAGAGCAGTCAGTGCTCTTAACCACTGAGCCATGTCTCTAACCTCCTGAGGACATCTTGAAAATAATCACAGTGTTTGTTGGCAATATATTTGGCTTAAGTTTGTTTGAAAAGGACTTTAGTTCTTTATTCCGAAAGATATATTTTTACCCAAGTATAGAATTTTTATATTCTCTCTATATAATTATGTATTATATAACATATTATATATATACATATTTATATATCAGTCAGCAGTTTGATTCCACTGTCTAACCTGAATTAGATTTTTGAGAACACAGCTGATATGTCTGTGTTTCTTTGCATGTAGTGCGTTCCCACCTGGCTTTTGTCAATATCTTAGTCTTAACTTTCATTATATGCTTAGCTATATGTGTTTGGTGGTAATGGGTAGGGGAAAGATTTATTCAGCACGGTGTTGAGTTTGTGACTGCTTTTATCTCATAATTCTGGGGTTTTTAAGTTTTTATGTACTCATTTAGAGTGGTGATGGAGACAAAACTCAGGGCTACACAAGCAATCTAACACTAAGGTATATCCAGCCTGCTTTTTTTGGTGATTTTTTTTTTATCAAATCTTTATTTCATACAGAACATCTCTATTTACCACCTTTTACTGGGGGGGGGCGGGTTTCCCTAGTCCTAGCCCTCCTGAAAGTCACTATGTGGACCAGGCTGGTCTCAAACTCACAGAAATCCACCTGCCTCTGCCTTCCAAGGGCTGGGATTAAAGGTACAAGCCACCAGCCTGGTGTAATTTTCCACTTTTTTATTCTTTTGTAAAAAAATATTTTATTATTTTTATTTTATTTTATGTGTATGAGTGTATTGCCTGCATCTATGTGATTGCACCCATGTCATGCAGTGCCGTGGAGGTCAGAAGAGGGCTTCGGATTCCCCTGGAACTGGAGTTAAGGAGGGTTCATAGCTGCTATGTGGGTGCTAGGAATCGAACCCGGGTCCTCTACAAGAGCAGTCAGTGCTCTTAACTGCTGAGCCAACTCTCCAGCCCCCACTTTTTTATTCTTGAGTTTTAGAATTAAGTAATTTCTATTACTCTATCTTCGTTTTTACTAATTTGTTCCTCGACTGTGCCAAATCTATGTATTAGCTTATTGCAAACACTTGTCAACTCTTTATTTGTAGTGCATTGTTTTCCTGGTTTTTGACACAGGGTCTAATTATGCCGCACTTGCTGGCCTGGAATTAACCCTGTAGCTGAGTCTGGCCTTGAATGTAGTATCCTTCCTGCCTCTCTGCCTTCGGTATGCTGGGATTACACCTGTGCGCCACAGCAACCAGGCCACAGCATATTCATTCTTAAAGTTAATATATATACACACATGTATATATGCTGAAATTAATCATTTATTTATGCATATATTGTTCGCTTTTTTCCCACCAGAACCTTTAACATTCAAACCATAATTACCTTAAATATGTGGTAGCCTGTTCCAACATGTTAGTCACATCTAAGTCAATTACTGTTTTACATCTTGGAGTGCTGTATTTTCTCTCACTTTCATGTGTACACTGGTATACATATGTGTGTGTGTGTGTGCGCACAGTGTGGAGGACAGAGGTTGACATTGGGTGTCTCCCTTGATCACCTTCCTCTTTATTTACTGTGGCAAGGTCTCAATGAACCTAGAACTTGCTGCTTCAGCAGTTTTTCTAGTCTCCTTGTCCCTGAGACTAAAGAAGGGAGGGCATGACTGTCCTTGGACAGCCCTTTAGGATGGTGTCTGTTCAGAGACTGAGGTGGTACTGGATTTAAGGGCTACTGCTGCTGTCACCTTTAGTGCACCACAGCGTTTCAAGTTCATCTGCAGATCGTTTACATTCAGACTGGGGACTCCAAGACAGTGTAATTATACACTGTCAGAGAGCATTTACAAAAGAAAACATCAAAAGGGGGGAGAGAGGGCTGAGGGAAGGAGGAAGGGAAAGAGGATGGGGAGGAAAAGAGACACAGGGGTCTGGGTGGGAGACCTAGACCAAGCAAGCAACTGTCAAATACCTATGGGATGCCACTACAGAATGCTCCTTAAAGAGAGAGATTCAAATACAAAATTAGCTTATTACATGTATACTTAGACACACACAAATTCTCCTATGTCATTTTGTATGGACTTGAAAAAATAACGAGGTCATCTACAGTGCACAGCCAGAAATAAGGGGAGCGCAAACAGTTGGCAGTGACCTGGGGACCACACAGGACTACACTCTCTCTGCCTGCTGTGACACTGTGGATAAGAAAAGGAAAGGGAACTAGAATGGCTTCAGCTGGTATAGAGGGACATCTTGTTTATCCCAGAAAACATTTATACTGATTTTTATAAATATCTGCTCAGATTTTCTCAATGATTTGGGAATGAATGCTGAAATGCAAAATAGACCATGCAGTTGATCACAGAGTAAAAGGAAACACTTTAACAAATGTTGGCTAGACAGTGATATAGCCCCACAGGTTTGCCAATGAATATTGAAAGCAAATAGTTAAAGGCTGTCAGAATCTTCTCCATACAGACTACACAATGACCCTCACATAACGATTCATCAGATGCACCTGGAATGGTTCATGCCCGAGGACCAGCCATGGGATGGCTGAAGAGAAACAACTCAGACTGCCTGAGGTTCAATTCCAGTTCTGCGTCTAGCTCTAAGGTCTGAGGCCGGTTCAATTCCAGTTCTGCGTCTAGCTCTAAGGTCTGAGGCCGGTTCAATTCCAGTTCTGCGTCTAGCTCTAAGGTCTGAGGCCGGTTCAATTCCAGTTCTGCGTCTAGCTCTAAGGTCTGAGGCCGGTTCAATTCCAGTTCTGCGTCTAGCTCTAAGGTCTGAGGCCGGTTCAATTCCAGTTCTGCGTCTAGCTCTAAGGTCTGAGGCCAGTTCAATTCCAGTTCTGCCTCTAGCTCTAAGGTCTGAGGCTGGTTCAATTCCAGTTCTGCGTCTAGCTCTAAGGTCTGAGGCTGGTTCAATTCCAGTTCTGCATCTAGCTCTAAGGTCTGAGGCCTACTGCAACGCACAAGTCCCTGTTTCCTCCAACAGTAGCAGTTCTTATTGTCTAGAGTCTACACACAGCACGTCAAGTCCTGAACAGAGCTCAAAAGTTTCTGGCACACAGTGAGAGGTCAAGAAATATGAGCTATTGAAACCACCCAGTATCAGTGAAATAGAAGCTAGAGGTAGGCTGTCCTGCAGATCATGGTTTGGAGACAAAATGTATCCAAACATTCATACATTAAATGCTGCTCTCATAGCTCGTGGCCTACTGAGAAGACAGTGAACCATGAAGATGCCAACTATCAGTCTACTGATGAAATCACAGCTGGACAGGGTATGAAGAGGCACTTCTCAGCTAATGAAAAGAGGTCCCTAGGGTATGATGTTCAAGGCTATATCTTTGTCACCGGTCTCTCTCTCTCTCTCTCTCTCTCTCTCTCTCTCTCTCTCCCTCCCTCCCTCCCTCCCTCCCCCCTTTTCACTCTCCTTCCTGGCTCCCATGAGCTGAGCAGCTTTCTTCCCTTAGGACCTTCTACCAAGTTTCCACATTGCCAGAGGCCTACAGGCAACAGACTGATGTCTGTGAGCCATGAACCCAAATAAGCCTCTCCCTCTGCCTACTGTGTGCAGGCATGTTTGTCACAGTTGCGGAAAGCTAAGACAATGAGGAACATTTGTGTCTGGGAGATTTCAAAGCTCTACACTTCTCTAGAGTATCCAATGATAAACTAATCTCAGATATGAAATCGTGATCTCTTTTTAAGATAATACAGAAAGGTGGCATGTATGTTTGCATCCAGCATGTTATAACAATATTTAATTTGGTGATAAGTTAATTTGTACAAATTATGTTTAAAGTAATTAGAATAAAATTCATCACAGGAATAAAACAAGTATTTAACAAGATTTATATTAAGTGCTATTTTACTGATTTTTGTAAATATGTTAAGATTAAATTACTTGACATCTTCAAAACATGAGGCAAAATGAAGTATTCTATGTTAAATGAAACAAAAGTTTTAGAGAACAGCTTTGGGGGCCTAACAAGTGGAACTGTGCCATTTCCCTCACACCAGGGAGCTGTTTTATTAGGTCACCTGAGAACTGATCATGCGCTGAGATGAGCGGGCAATATTGGCTGACAGACCAAAGAAACCAGGCTTGTCATCCTCTGGAAGCGTTTCAATGACAGCACGGTAGTCCTGCACATAAACAAGTGAAAACGTTTATTGCCAGAGAAATGAGTTTACAATCACTGAAGTCAGAAAGAATGGATACCGTAAAATGTCAAATTAGGTTTTATATTTTTTTAGCTAAGTCTGTCCATCTTTATTTTCACTCAATCATCTCCATAAAGTCTCCTCATCAATATGTCTTCGTGCATTCATTATTTATCATTGTATTTTCTTATACCAACCCTCACATACAAATGGACCCTGAGTAGAATCAAACCAACATATACGAGTGGCTACTATGTGTAAGAAGTTGTCTTAGTGTTTGTAGAGAGTCTGAAATTTCTTCTAATATACCAAAAACCCATCTTCAGAGATCAGTTCTTTCTTACAGAGGCCAAAAGTCAACAATGAATCCCCTACAACTGTAATTAAGAAGGGTTGCAAGCTACCATGTGGGTGCTGGGAACCAAATCTGGGTCCACTGCAAGAATAGCAAGTGCTCTCACTTGGGAGAGAGAGGCAGGCAGATTTCTGTGAGTTCAAGGCCAGCCTGGTCTACATAGTGAGTTCCAGGACAGCTGCAGCCACAGGGAGACCCTGCTACAAAAAGACCAGCCTCCCCTCCAAATAAAAACAAAACAAAAAAGAATAGCAAGTGCTCTTAACCACTGAGCCATCTCTCTAGCCCTCAGAGTTTAATTCTTTTTTTTTCGGGCTTTTTGAGACAGGGTCTCCCTGTAGCCCCAGCTGTCCTAGAACTCACTATGTAGACCAGGCTGGCCTTGAACTCACAGAGATCCACCTGCCTCTGCCTTCCAAGTGCTGGGATTAAAGGCGTGTACCACCATGCCTGGCCAGAGTTTAATTCTTATATATAAAATACTGGAACAATCACTTGGTTCTTCTTGTTTTTGAACTTAGGGAACCCTGTAACATAGGAGGCAAACTGGAAATTCAAGTACTGCTGTGAGAGCAATTTGCCATTAGGCAGCTCCACACCTAGGTCTTCCGTTTGCTTGTGAGGTGTGGTGAATACACTGAGAACTGCACCAGTTCACGCCGAGAATCACTCTAAGGACTGCAGGAGCTGCATAGCGTGAGCCCAACATTCATCCACTCACAGAGTTGGATGAAAGCTCAGGTATAGACCAGGAGGATCAATTTGGCCCAAAGATGGGAACTGTTCTCAAAATTAGAAGCTGTTTTCAAGTATTATATATGCATCAGAATAGTATTTGCTGGGCAAGGGTAGACTTTTTTTCTCATACCTGGCAGCTACCCAGAAAGTGTTTTCCACGGAAAACAGCTGGACGCCATACATCATACTTCAGAGCAACACAATATCCTTTGATATTATCTTTCCTCTAGAGTCAGTTATGATATAGGGAAGCATGCACGAGTGCATCCCCACAATCTCACGCATAAGTGCATTTGCACAGTCAAACGGGCACGTGCCCATCCCCTGGGAACATGGAATCTACCTCCCACCTAACTCACTCATACAGGAAACTAAGCAGTGACTGTCCTGGATCCTATAAATTTAAAGCTAGTTTCTGTTTGGAGAGTGTTTGACATATAAAAATTAACTGCATTGTACATCCATTATGTGAACATTTTTGCATGAATTTTATTTTATTTTCATTGAGCTTTTAATATTTCATACATTTCCCACTCACATCCAGACCCCGTCCCCCATCCATGCATCTCCCCTCCTCTCCCGACCAAACCCTGTGCACTCTGCCATACATGCTGAGCCCTATTCATTCAGGTGTTTGTACCCAAATGTCCTTCAGTGTAAATGTGTCCTCTGGAGTCTAGTCAGCCCATCCAGTGGTCATGTGTAAGTCATACTTCTCCCTCACCCAGCAGCAACCAGTCTCAAATAGTCATCAAACTAGTGCTGGCCCACCACCTATTTCTCACTTCACCTTTGGACCCTTGTTTAATTGAGCTGACATGGGTCCCATGTTCGATGCCACCACTACTGCAGGTACACATGAGCAAGCCTCCAGTGGCCTGGAACCCTCCACCTCCCTATGTTCATGAGACAGCCCTGACTCTTACGATCTTTCTGCTTCCTCTTCTGCAATGGTCCCTGAGCCATGGGTGGGTGAGGTTCCATACAGGAGTCCCATCCTACACTCTATAGTCTCTTATTCTCCAAAACTTGGCCAGCTGAGGCCTTCTGTGTGTACCGCACTCTGATGTATATGGAAGCCTCACTGGTGAGAGTTGAGGGGTGCATTAGCCCTCTCTCTACTCCTTATTCCACTATGTTCCATGAGTCTTGGTTGTAGAGATTCAACTGCAAATGTGTCACCTAGTACTGGGCATTTCCCAGGTGTATGTTCTCTGTGCCTGACCAGATGGTTCAAGCAGTACATACAGAAGACTTTTGGGGCAATAATACCTGGAAAATATACAAGCTTTCTCATCCAGTCTAAGATTCTACAGCTAGAAGGTAAAGATGTATCTCTTTATTCACAAAGCTTGCAACCAGAGTTATCAGTGAGCTGATGTTCAATTGTGTTATTGAATGAATGTGTAAATAAAAGATACACAGGGATGGGGAGATGTCATAGCTGTTAAAGGCTAAGGCTAACAACCAAAGTCAAAAGACACATGAAACAAATGAAATAGTCACTAAAAGTAAATAATAAGATATTAAATAATATATTTAAAACTGTTTTTTAAGCTTTGGTTCTTGGACAATTATGTCATAGAAATCAAAGGAATTTCTGAATAATATTTGGGTGGAGACAGAAACAAAAATGAGAGCTACATAGTCAAGTGCAAAAGTGCGTCACTGTAATCAATGAAGAGATATAGTAGTGCCTCTTGCAATAAAAGTATTGGGACATTTGTTCACACATGGGCTTGTGATAAAACAAACTACCATGGAACTCGACGTAGTCAGCATATTTTATAGAAAAGATGCATGTAGTCTCGGAGCCTTCTTGTGATGACTCAAGGCAAAAGCTCCAGCTTGCTAAAATAAACAAACAAGCAAAGCTGCTGCTGCTGAAGGCAGATGGCAGATAACTGGATACCCTTCATATCTTTAGATCTGCTTTAAATATCTCAATTCTATCATAAACTGAAGATAGACTTTTTTTTTATTTATTATTTTTATTTATTTTTATTGTATGTGTATGAGTATATTGCCTGCATATAGGTAAGTGCACCCATGCTACAACGCCTGTGGAGGACAGAAGAGGCCATGGGATCCCCTGGAACGGGAGTTACAGACAGTTGTTAGCTGCCATGTAGGTGCTAGGATTCAAACCCAGGTCTTCTGCAAGAACAACCAGTGTTCTTAACCTCTGAGCCATCTCCCCAGCCCCCGAAGATAGACATTTTTAAAAATAATATGACTTGTTTTCTTTTGTACAGTCTATCAGAGCACATTCCTGCCCACATGAACATAAGCAACACATGTTCCATCCCAGCTCTTCATAGATGTCTGACATTGGGCAAGTTGTCCTTGGCACTTTACTCCAAGATGTGCCTATTCACTAGCCTACAGTTAGCATGATCACTCACTCTTCAATGAATACTGAAACTCTATAAGACATAGGTTCAAAGAATCAAGTCACATGTTGTTAAATAATCTGTACTGTGAATGATTACTTGTATATTTAGAAAAGTAATAACATGTTGTACAGTGTAAGAAATAATTCAAATGTCTGTCAGGTACAAGAAACATATAGTAAACTATTACTTTCACCTACCGAAATGCTGCAGGAGTTTGGGAGAGATATGGAATGTGGAAAAACGCTTTTCTTGTTCCTTTGGTTTAGCACATCAATCACTGAAGAATTAAAAAACTGCTTCAAGTATGACTGGAGGACTCTAAGGTCAAAGTAGTTATCCACACGTCCTCCATAAATAGCATTTTCAAATAAGCCATGCACAAATTCCCATTGCACATCTTTGGTACCTATGAGCAAAAAAATACTTTTACTAACTTCATTTTTAAGTGGTTTTCTTTATTCTAGAGAATTTCATGCAGATGTACAATATGGTCCTGTCTACCCCCCGTTACCCCTCCAAGTCTCCCCAACATGCTCCTCCTCCCAACTTCATATCTCTTTGTTGTTTTTAATGATTTATTAAATCCAGTTTGAGCTGCCTATCTGTCCATGGCATGGGGTCATCTACTGGAGCATGAGGATTCTCAGTGGCTACATCTAAAAAGAGTGATTCTCCCTCCACCAGCAACTATCAGCTGCCAATTCAGTGAGAGCTGGGGCCCAAGATCATCCACCCCATCTGTGCAGGAATTCTGGCTGATTTGAGCTTGTGTCGTCTTGTACAGGTAACCACAGCAGCTGTGAGTTCATGACTGTGAAAGCCATGTCATGCCCAGAAGTCAGCATTTCACAGCACTCCTCCCCAACCTCAGCCCTTACATTCTTTTAAATTTCATTTTTAAAAGGTTAACCTAAATTATTGACTACGATTTTATACATGAGCTATAGCAATATATTTAATACAAGTAAAAAATTCTTTAAATGGTCATTAAAGGCAGATAACACTTATTGAAAGGTTAATCATGTAACATTCTCTTTCCAATGGTTTTAGAGAAATATGGATATTAAAGTTGAGGTTTAGGAAGTTTGTGTCATCATAATGAGAAAAAAGAATCACATCGTCCCACAGATCTGCATTGGAAGGGCAGCATTCTGAACATAGGACCAACCTCTTTTCTAACCACATAATAATACTTAATTAAATTGGAAATGCTTTAGAAAAAAACCTGCCCAAAACATAACTATATTGAGCAGATGTCCAATGCATATTACTGAATGAATGCATAGAAATACTCTTAACTTGTGTTTGATGAAACAACCAGTTCATAAAATATTACTAAGTAGGGAAACTCTGTAAAGCACCTTCACACAATATAGTCTGATGTATGAGTGTGTGTGCATGTATGTTATAGTCTATATAGTCAACTCTGCTTTCTCTTCTAGTTGGAAAGCATTAGAATCTGGGGGAAGGGGACATGGATGAGTGGTACAGCACCTGATAGCACATCCATTCCTCACACGACAAAAGACAAAACAAAACGAAACAAAAAAAAAACCCAGAAGCACATACAATGGAGCTGCTTTCTACAAAAGAATGTTTCACTTTGTAACAGAGACATCCTTGTAATCATAAATCAGCAGTGAGATTAAGATAGAATGATTACATTTTTAGCTCCAGTAAATATAAGAAACTAACTTATTATAAGCATTACTGGATTACTATTTTATATAATCATTAGTATTTTGCTATTTACTATTAATATTTTATCACTATAAATTTCAGAGACAATCATATAATTGATAGCAGTGTTACTATATGCATTAGGCCCTAAGGGATTTATATTGCCTTCTGCAGGACAAGGACACCTACACAGAAGAAGAATGATTTAAGTCATCTCCTGCGGATACTTTACTATCAACAGTGACTAAATAAGATGAGACTTGGCCTTCATATTCACTAAGTGACACATCAGTACAGGATATGGATGTCATTGCTAAGTAAGACACAAAGGAATACAGGAACATTATCACATATTCAACTTATAGAATGTAAAATATAGAAATGTTCTAAGAACATCTTATTTTTCTTCTTAGACTTACTCTTCAAACAAAATTCGTTGTTCAAGGTAATAAAATGTAAACTTAAAAACAGTAAGACAGCCAACAACTGCTTAGAACAGTAAATGTACAAACCTAGATGTTTCATGTTTTTCTCATCCTAGCCACCCATCTTTATCCTTTTGCTACAAATAAGCTTCAGAATAGTTTCTATTGCCTGTGATAGACACTGTCATAGATGTTAATGATGCAGGTAAGGAACAAGAGAAAAGACAAAGACATCCTTCAATGGAGACTATGCTGGAGATTACAATGTAGTAGAAAGACAGAAACAAAGTACTAGGAAAAATGCCCATGGTGCTCTGGTTGACATTCCCACCCTTTACAAACATACAAAGAAGCAAAAGACCATCAGACAGCACTTACATACTGAAACAATAAAAAAGAGGAAATTTCAAAAATTAGTTTAATTTAGGGCTGGAGAGATAGCTCAGTGGTTAGGAACACTGGCTGCCCTTGCAGAGGACAGGGTTTGGTTACCAGCACCCACAAGATAGCTAATAACCATCTGTAACTCTAGTTCCAGGGGATCTAATGCCTCTTCTGGCCTCTTGGGCATTGCATGACACAGGTGCACTTATATCCATGCAGGTCAAATAAACACATAAAATGAAGATAAAAATTCTTTTTAATTACTTTAATTCATTGCCAGGAGAAAGCTTTTATGGAAAGAAACTTCTAAGGTGAGCCATAAATGAGAAGAAGAAAGCCTAATGAGAAGATAGAAAAGCCTTTCAGAGAAAGGAAGTATACCAACTAAAACATACAGGTAGGAAAAGCTTGTCTGAGGCGAGGAAAGCCAACAGGAGGGACTGTATGTTTTAAAGAGGAATTATATGCTTTGTTTTGCCTTTCTAAAGCATGAAGTGGTTTACAACATGGTGCTAAAGCGAAAGACTAGCAGCTATAACATAAGGCTTTAGTGTAACTAAATAGAATTATAATGTGATGTGGAAGGGAAAGAAAGAAATTGCTGAAGCACAGGATGAGAAAAAGCATGGGGGTGGTATGACAAAAAGGAAAGAATTCAGAATTTAATAGGCTTGGAGCTAGGACCTGCCTGCACTGTCATCTACTGAAATGGGGAAGACTCAAGGCAGGGGCTGCACAGAGCAGCAGGGTTGATGGGGAACAGGAAACAGGATGTATGAATTCTGCTTGTGGCATTTTCAAGTTTGAGATTTCTCAACCAAATCTGCTCTCTGGTTCACAATGGCCTAAGCTCTAATGTCCCTTTGTCTCAGTCCTGCACAAAAGACACTAGGAATTAGATTGGAACTGGCTTCAAGGCTACATAGCCCTATGGGATGGAATTACTGGTTTTATTCATTGTACTACCTTAGCGGATTTGAACTCTCATTTCTACTAAAGAATTCAACAAGGACCACTACAAATCCCTGGCTCTTGCCTTACACTGCTTTCTTCAAAATTTTAACAGTTCTCTAGAAAGAGATTTGAGTAATTCAGAGGAAGCCAGAAACTTCTGTAGGCCACGAAGTGAGTACAGGTCATTTTAGACTTCTATTTCCTAAAAACTACATATAAATCAGAAATATAATTCATTATATCAAAACTAATGACTATAGTAGATCATATAAGAACTCTAAAACAGGCATGACATTCAGTACATAAAAAAACTAAACACAAAGCAAAGCATATTTTGTGACAGGAATTGAGCCACTTGTAGAAAACTGTTACCATTAATAAGAGTGCAAATCCAGCCTTTCTTTCATCAGTAAAGCTTACCATCAAAGAGTCTGTCAATGATGTTGTACCCAGCCCGGAGATCTGATAAGGAAAACTCATAAAACTTGGTCCAACCCTACAAAAACAAATTTAAGATGTGTAAAGAACTAAGCACTGTTAAAAGACATGTATACAAACATCGCTGCCATTAGAAATTTAAGGAAAATGTTCAATATATACTAAGTAATAAAATTTTTTAAGAATTTTGAATCAAACAGCACACACATTTAAGATATTATTTAAAAAGCAAACACATGACCTTAGAAGTATGAAAATAACTTGATAATTCCACTTCAATTTTTCATCACTTACATATGTAGCAGTGCAGTCACAGAAAACAAGCTGATGTGCTGTTTGTTATTCTCTATTGCACACTGAGATATTTTGAATAATTCTGCGCTTCAGAACTATACCTTTTTCCCACAAGCATGAAAACAAATATTGCCAAAACAAGTCCTAAAAGCATATAACATTTTTCTGTACACTTATTGGTTTCATGTATACAAACACCTAAAGCCATAATGCCTATGTGAAAACATACCTCAAACTCCATGTTGTATGGACAATGCAGAAAGAAAATAGTCATTTCTATGGGTTTCTGTTAACTAAAACTAATTACACAATGAAATAAGTTCAAATTAAAATGTTTTAAACTTGGATAGTATTTGTATTTAGGAATACACCAGTGTTCACTAATCAGTCAAAAGTATTTCAATGTTTGATGAGACTCCAGGCATGTGAGAACAGATGCAAACACAAATCTCCGTTCTCTTGTAGATTTCAGACAAATGCAGGGAGTGAGGCAGAGACAACTCAATGCATGTACTACAGCAAGCCTTAGGGAAAGAAACATACTTGCTACATAGAAGGAAAAGATCTGAGCCAGTCTATAAGACAGTCACCCCCATGGAAAGAGGGTACAATGTATAGAAAAAGAAAAGCAAATAGACTTGAAAAGTTCAGGAAGAAATGAGCTCTTTTTCAAGTGGACTTCAGTGGAGGTGAGGACATCACAGGAGAGCTGTGGAGGATGCTTTCTGAGCATGCCCAATGCAATGGATGGTGCTTGTTCATGGACAGCTGTGGCCCTGAATGAACACAAGGCTGGCAAAGACTTATGATGCATAAACCAAACCAACAAGTATGCTAACGGTTTAATCATGCTTTCTGCCAACAGAACGCTCTCTGAATATTTCTGTATCATTCTATTTATTAGATCTTATTTGTAAAAAATGTATTTTTTCAAATTCAACAATATTGTGAGGATGAATATTTTTAAATCTTCAGTTAGAAGACTTTGGCTATCAGTATTAATTAACATATGGTGCTTAGCAATTAAACAATGGTCTAATATTTTATCTGTTTTAACTTTGATTTTATGAATTTTATAAGAATGCAAAAAATAGAATCCTCAAACTGTGTGTGGAAAACTGAACTATTATGACTTCTATGAAACAGGCTTACTTTTATTTTTGAATTCAAAAACCCCTCCTTTGATGCAAACATTCTACATTGAGGAACTGGCTAATATAAATATTAAATAAATCACGTTATCAGGATATAGATTGTAACTACATAAAATAATATTTCATAATAGCAAAGGTTGAAAATATGTATGCCTACCTAGTATATAACTATTAAAGCATATGTATGTATCAATATAGTATAATGTTTTTAAATTACACATTAAATAGGTAAACACTTAATATTTAAAATATTCAGTATTTTATGGGGACTGGAGAGAGATGGCTCAGCAGTTAAGAACACTAGTTGTTCTTGCAGAAGACCTGTGTTCGAATCCCAGCACCCACATGTCAGCTAACAACTGTCCGTAACTCCAGTCCCAGGGGATCTGACAGGCTCTTCTGACCTCTGCGGGCATTGCACGACAAGGGTGCACTTACCTACATGCAGGCAATCCGTGAATACAAATAAAATAAAAATAAATAAAATATTTTAAAATATTCAGTATTTTATAACATGTAGACCTCTGTAACATTCTACCATTTAAGTTACAAAGAATACAAGTATGTATGTAAATTCATAAAATGCTTCTATATCTACATACTATGTCCTAAGAACACCAGGTAGCAACAATGGTTACTCAGAGGAAGCAAACTAGGTAGGCAGGGTAGATAGGAAGGAGAGTAACTTCTCTTTGCAAAATGTTATAGGTTTTGAATTATGCTATGTTGTGCATCGATACAAAACTGATTTTAAAATACAACTTCTTAAAAATTAAGATATGACTATATAAACTACAGTCTCCAGGATTAATTGCTACATTTGGCCAAGGACTGATGACATCAAGAACTGATGACAACATCAAGGACTGATGACATCAAGGACCGATCACATCAAGGACTGATGACATCAAGTACTGACATCTGAAACGTCAGAGGCAAAGCTTCAGGAGGAGGAGGAGGAAATGGGCATTTCCTGGAGTTAATTGTTGTAGGGGTACACTCTGAGGAAATGAAACCAGGTAGTATACACGCATCACAAGCCTAGTCTATACCTTACACGAAGCACTGCACCATCATGACTATTTCATCTGCTTGACACAGTATCTGCTGACGGTCTATGTGACACTCACAATGGGAAGCAGCTCCATATACTCTCTTTACTCCCCACAGTGAAGGTAACTGATTATGATTCCCATTTACAGTTAAGGAAGCAAGCTGGTGTTTATTGGAGTGAAAGTAGTTTCACAAGATCACACTGCTGGGGGCTGGAGAGATGGCTCAGCAGTTAAGAACACTGACTATTCTTGCAGAAGCCCTGGGTTCAAATCCTAGCATCCACATATCAGCTAACAACTGTCCGTAAGTCCAGTTCCAGGGGATCCGACAGCCTCTTCTGACCTCCATGGGCATTTTACAACATGGGTGTACTTACCTACATGCAGGCAATACATGCATACACATCAAATAAAAATAATAATTTTTTTAAAAACGATCACACTGCTAGGAAATTCTAATCAGGTATCAAACTCAAGTCTGATCTCCAGAACCTATCCTCTTTTTTTCCAACATGACATGTAACTGAGTAAAGCCTCTAAGAAGCTAAGGAGAGGCAAGATAAGGAGCCAAGTGTGAGAAGACAGTTTCCCAACAGAAAAGGGTAAGGCTGCAAAAAGATGGCAAAATGTGAGGATGGGAAAGAGCTACAATTTATGGCTGAAACAGGCCTGGCAAGAATGGAGCAGCAGCACCAACTCTGGTGGCTGTGGCTACGGAAAGGCGCACCCATTGCAACAACAGTGAACAGCCAATCTACTGAAAGACTTGATGGACTCAAAACCCTTAATACAGATGCCCAGTGTGAGCTAAGAGCAGAGGGACAAGGCAAGACGGCTGGGGAGACGCAGCCGTTTTAAGCAAAATAATGCAATGATTTAATTCCCAGAAAGATAAGTCTGGCTGCTAAATAAAAAGCAAAGCCAAAATACCACAGAGGAGTTCAGAGGGCCAGCTCAGAAATCAGAACCTGTGAGACATGAGGCTGGGGAAGTGGTGATGCATCCAATGTCGAGTGCAATTCTATGTTGAGGTAGAGTAGTGTTTGATAATGAACTGAGTCTAAAAGTGAGCAGAGGAACACACCAAGAAAAATTCCTGGGATGCTAGCTCAGAAAGCAGAGGGCTGGCCATGCCTTACTAAGGAGATCCTAAAGGAAAACAGGTGTGGGAAATTCAGTATCTGAAGTCTAGATGTCCGAGAGACAAACACCACTGAAGAGCCAGCTGACACTTGCTGACGGCATCTGACGGGTCACAGATACTGACACTTTAATTCAATGGCATATGAAGCCTATAATCACACATTATACAGTATAGAAGACCAGCAGAAAAGTGAATTAGAAACAAACTTATAAACCATAAACCAAATTATGACATAATCCTATTTATACTAAATTATAAACATAGTCTAATAAAATGTAAAACGTAGGCTATATCCAAGACATGCTCATAGTTACCTGTGGAATATAGTTTCTTCTTTCTTGACAAGCAGCATGAAACCATGCAAAACTAAAAAGAGCATGAGCTCGCTGCAGGTTATCTTTTTTACTAATTTGCTCAGGCGTCCAAGACTCATAAGTACGCATTAAATTCTTCTTCAAACCTGGAGGTGACTAAAAGACAAAACATGAACACATTTCATACTGCTTAAAGCATGACAAAGAAAAGGAATCTGTATTCAACACATTTGAGATCATATGTTAGTAAATAAAAGTTTTTCATCAAAAGCTTGATTTAATTTTATGTTACTCCAACTGGACCCGGGTCCTCTGCAAGATCAGCCACTGCTCTTAACCTCTGAGCCATTTCTTCAGCCCCCTATGATATTGACTGTTGTAGAAAAAATACATGGGCAAGAGGGGACAAGAGCAGAAATCCTCTGACAGTTTTTAAAACATTTTTAATTCAATGTATTGTGACTGAGAGGTTATAGAATATTACTACAAGTACATAATTTTACATATGAAGCACGGGCTGGATCTGTCCAGGACTGCAGTTTGAGGGAATCTAACAATACAAACACGTGGTCAGGTGGTTTGAAGAAATCAAACACCGAAAATCCAATATAGCTCCATCAAAAACAATTACATGAAAGCTGCATATTCACATGCAAAAGAATGAAGCTAGCCTCATATATTTACTTGATTCATGAAAAGTAATTCATAAATGGACTAAGGAGCCAAACTTATAACCCAAAATTCCAAATTCCCAGAAGAATGCCCAGGGGAAGCTTCGTGACCTTGGCCAAACCTGGCAGTGACTTCTTACACAAAGCACCAAGGGCACAGACAACAAAACAGGCCCATGAACTGCACCAAAGCTAGAAGTTATGTAGAAAAGAAACGGCCTACAGAGTGAAAGGGCAAACTGCAAGGGGGGAAATATTTTCAGATCATCGACCTGGTAAGAATAAAGAGCATCTCAAATTCTTCAACAAAATAATCCAATTTAAAAAGAAGGAAAAAACACAAAAAAAGATTTAGATATATCTCCAAAGAAGATGCACAACTATAGCAAGCACATGAAAAAATACTGAATACCACTAGTTCTAAGGAAATGTAAATAAAATCATAAGGTAAATGTAAATAAAATCACAAGATGGTAAATTTTATACTGCGGATTTTTTCTGTAACAACAACAAAAAAAACAAGTGATATGAAATAAAATTTGAAAGGATTATACCTTTTTACATCATCTTATGCTTTTTTTTTTTTTTTTTGTCTTTTTGAGACAGGGTCTCCCTGTAGCCCCAGCTGTCCTGGAACCCACTATGGAGACCAGGGTGGCCTTGAACTCATAGAGATCCGCCCGCCTCTGCCTCCTGAGTGCTGGGATTAAAGGCTCTTATGCTATTGTTTTAAATTTAGAACTTAACTAGCTATTAAAAGGAAGTTGTTATAGATTTTAAATGATCTGTTGTTTAAAAGGCATGCACAGTTTACTGTTCTGCAATTAGGGGTGGGGATTTTAAGCAGCCTTACCTCATATGTTATCTTCAAACTTGACTGCAGTAAGATAGGAGTGAAATTGGGATGAACTTCTGCAGTGAGCCAAAGACGAAAGGTCTCTTTAGGTTGAAGAACATTCAATTCCTTTATTATAAACAAATAAAATAATGTTTCAACATACACATTTCCCTTTTATCAATGAACTAATAAGTTTTTCTTACTAAAAGTTTTGTGGTATTTTGATACATTTCTTAATATTCTAATTATATATTATATATTGATATATTTCTTAATATTCTAATTATAATTATAGGAACTTAGACCTGGAGAACTTTGCCCTGGGATGAAACCCAAACTTTGCCATTTATTTGCTGTGTTACCCTGGGATGTACAACTTACACGACCTTATCTAAACAAGGATAACAACTGCTTGTGCAAAACAGGTCGAGTACTTCCTGAAATGTGGCAGATATAAAGCGAGGCACAGCTGCAGCTGCTGTGTCTAGGCTGCCAGCCACCATCTGGCCTTTCCTCTCACTGTTTCCCTCTATACTTCCACATTTACATAACGGTGCTGTGCCTCCTTACTGCCTACAACATTAATTCACAATGTCGCCACACACGTTCGCCTGCCCAACTCCTTCATACTGTGTACTTGAGCAATTTACTTAAGAGTTTTATACCAGTTTTTTAATCAACATCTTCTTCCAAGTGTTAATTTCCTAGTGTTAACCTACAAATTCTTACCCATCTACTACTAATAGAATTGAAATACCACGTTTCAGTAAAATATCTTCTTCAGCTTATCACTGGTGTTACTTACAACATTACCTGCCTCTCCTCTACCACCCTGTGAGAGGGCAGGTAGAACTGCCCCATGTATCTGCCCACCCCACCCCACATCCTTGCCTTTTTTTTTTTTTTTTTTCTTGTATTCAAGAAGTTTCCATAGAGTGAATGAACTAGTTGCAGGCCTGTCTGGGATATAGGTTGAGAAGTGAGACCCTATAAAATACAGTGAAAACTAAAAAAAGTATTTACGTGCCATTGTTATTATCAGTATCATGTAAAACATTATGATAACCAAAAAGGGCAAAAAGATGGCCATGTGATAACCAAAAAGGGCAAAAAGATGGCCATGAAAATGTGATTGCTTAAAATTTAAAATAAAAATGTATTTATTCTTTTTTTTTTTGGTCTTTTTGAGACAGGGTCTCTCTGCAGCCCCATCCATCCTGAAACTCACTATATAGACCAGGCTGGCCTTGAACTCACAGAGGTCCGCCTGCCTCTGCCTCCCAAGTGCTGTATTTATTCTTAATTTTAAAATATGAAGTGTATACAAAATTGTGCATATCTACAAAAATTAAAAGGGGAAATAAAATATTGGTTAAAAAATGTAAATTTCTAGCCTAGCAATTCATCCAAACATTCTCAGAGAATAGAAAAGGAATAAAATTTTGTAACAACTTTTGGAATACTATCTGCTCTGTATCTTTCAAATAGTTCTTGTTAAGATTTTCTTCCAAGGTATTACCTACAATTATAGACTTAGTATCTATTTGTATAGACTTAGTATCTATCAACCAACTATTTTAGAAAGGAAAACTGGGCTTGAATGGTCTTAAAATTTTTAAAATATATCATGTGTCAGATGTGAATTCTCTATTTTATAACTGGTAGTTTCTACTTTTAAAAAACTTGATTATATGAATATTTACATCTACTTTGGCTCAAAATCTAGGTCTGCTTTTGATAACAAGAACACCCTGATTGTCCATCAGTTCATCCACACAGTCATTAATGCTCAAAGATGCACCAATTGCATCCTCTGCACAAGGTTTCAGCAGCTCACTGCACCTGCTTACTGGCCTAGTCTACTCTGTTTGACTCTATTAGGTATGTTGGTTCTGCCAGCTTAACTCAATGTAAATTACTACCCCTGCTAAGGGATTCTTTCTCCTTCTTTGAGTCCAACTAGATGTCTTCAGGGTATTCTTCCATAATCTAGCCCCTTCCAAGTCATCTACCTCCACTTCCCCACACTGTCCTGCCTGGTTGTCCCAGGACCCTAAAAGACATCATGCACATCTCCAACACTAGTCTCCACTTGTGCTGCTAGAATTACCCATGATGCCCTTGCGTTGTCCACAGTTAGCTAAATTCCACTCAGTTTTCAAGGAGCATCTTCTGTTTGGAGTCATCTCTCCCCAAACCAGACTGTCTTTTGTAAATGCATACCATATTAAAGCTGGTCTGCATTCAAAACCTGTCAAGCAGTTCACTCTATCTTAAGGTCTTATTTTCTTCCTGGGGCCAAGTAGGTTGAATAAAACAATTACTTTAGTTTCCTTAGCATCTAGGAAGCTCTGAAATTTCCTTTGAGGCTGATAACAAAAGATGAGCATAAGTAAGCATAAAGTAATGGCATAAACAGATCTGCAAACTATTAAAGCATCTCCTATTTTTCTTTTGCAAAATTTCTCTAAGCTTCTGTCAGTCTTGATCAATAATTTCTTGACTTCTCTCACATACTGAAGGGAATCAAGGTCTTTGGAGCCCAATAAAGATTTAGACAACAGGCGAAGGTGTGGTCCCCAAGGATGACTTAGTTAAGATAGCTGCTACCAGTTGCCTGGAAAACCATGAGTAAACAGCAAACATGGCCATTATATAACTGGTTATTTAACCAGTTTTTCAAAAAGCCTTCTTTGTGTGGTTTCCTATAAAATTTCTTTGGGACCAAGGGCACAGGCTCTCAACCCAGAGAAAATAGTATACAGCATTTGCCAAGGGTTCCCCAGATCTTCAGTTTCCTGGCTCCTCTCAACCCTCCATCCTGGCCCCTGAATTTCATCCCTATGTACACCCTTCCAGGCTAGATATGGTTACAGAGGGACTCTGTTTCAAAAAGACCAAAAAAAAAAAGGCAGATTTTTGTAAACTTTATACTAACTTGTTTGGCAGAAATGTACTTACTTTTAATGGGTTTAATATTTTTTATCAAATACTATGTTAAAAATAAATAATACATGACATTTACAGTGACTTTCCTTGGGGATTACAGGACTGATATGATTCTTGTAACACTTTTATCTCTTTCTACCTTTTCCAGAACGGGAAGCCAGGATACCACAAGATGCAGGTTCTTCAGGCACAGCCAGGCCCCGCGGTGTGCACACTCCCTCAGCATCTGAATGGCTAAGTCAGCTTGACCCTGACCCATGGCAACCTGAAGAAACAAAAACCTTCATGAAAAATATGCGCTAAAATGTTGGACCAGAACACTGTGAGACATTTAATAATAGTCTCTAAACCTCCATGATGGGCTTCAAGTTAAGTTTTGAAGAAAAGTCAAGCAAATATCAAGAATTAATCATCTTTTCATAGAACCGTAAATAATTCATAGTTTAGATGTATAATCTCCCTGTCAAGGTAGAAAGAGCTGTTGGTGCTACATACATCACAAGTTAAATATCTACTGTCCCAATGAATATCCTGGTCTTTTCACATGATGGAGTGGGAAGCCCAGAGCTGCTCAGGGTAAACCCCACAACTGACCCACCTGCTCTGGTACTTTGATATTTTCTTTTTAAACTATTTTTTTTATGCAATTCTTACTATTCAACGTTTGGTGGCTGTAAAGAATTTGAGTTTTTAAATCATTGATTCTGGTCTTAATACAAGAGATTTATTCACGTTCCAAAACTGACAGTAAATGAAAAAGTTCCATCTTCAGACTTGGATGAACGCCAACTCAGAGGTCAAGGACAACGAGCTCCACCTCAAGAAGAGCACAACGCTGTACTGGGTGAATTCTGCTCAAAATATTTATGTATTTCTTTCACCTTGGGTCTTTTTGTGCTCTAACAAGTTAACACAAATTTAGTGTCTCTCTCTTAAAAAGGCATTTGTGATTTTACTGGGCCCATCTGGATAACATAGAATAATTTTCCCATCTCAAGATTATTAATTACACCTATAAAGTTCTTTCGCTATGCCCGAGTTCTGGAGCTTAGGGTATGGACATCTTTTGAGGAACTATTTTGGCCTATTACCCAAAAAAGGGCACTTTAGCAACAGGATCTAGTGTAGAACACCACCAGAGACAGGAGGAAACAGTGGCAGCTCACGCTCACCTGGTGATAAGACTCTCCACTTCGTTCAGCACTGGCAAGCTCTTGAAGTTCCTGGGAAGGGTCAGCTCCCGGGGAAATTATTATCAGAATGGGCTCTATTTCTAGTGTCTCTTTGTATAAACGTTTGAGATTCAGAGGAGGCGGAGACAACTCTTTCAGTCCTAAAACAGGTATTAGAGAAATCACAAAAGCAGCATTCATCATAAAAACATCTATTAAAATAATTACATAATATAGATTAGAGTATACTTGTATAAATTATAATCTCACATATAATAATTTTTCACTCTAAAGATCATTCATATACTAGTAACAGTATTTGATGAATGCTTCCGATAGCTACTTTTGTAAGTGCTTTTCATGTAAAATGTCTTCTAATTATCATATTTCTGAAAGTTAGGTGTCCTGATCACCACATGTACCAGCTGAAGAAATTCATAGCCAGACTTAGGGTCTCCAGCTTCCACATCATTTAGGCAAATAATTCATTGTCCTGGTAAAGGATAGAGACCATCTCTTATGGCCATCATACTAATAAGTCAAATAGGAAATGGAGAGAATGCCAGGAGACAGAAATACATGTCCATTTCCACTTGTTACCTGGGTGACCCAGTGCACAGCACTAGAAGATGCTGTGTTTTGGTTTCCCAATTATAAAAGGGCTAGAACAATCCACAAGTACTTTGATGGCAAAAGAGTCTAAGGTGGCTATAAGAGATTCCATTTACTTGTTACCTGTTCTGAGCTAACCATCACACCAAGCAGTTTACTTACATGCTGTCTAAATCACGTAACAACCTTGAACAACAAAGAAAATGTTTATTTTCTGTGAAAGAAAACTAAAACTCCAAAAAGCTGAATGTCTTGCCTAAGGGCACCCACTGCTCAGAGCCAACTGTATTAAAAAAGAATTCATTTGTGTCTTTTATTCTCTAAAGCCTTTCACGAACTATAAAGTCCTAGTCAATAAAAAAATAACAAATTTCCCATTATAATTACATTTCTTTTACTATAAGTTGAATGCCCAAAATGCATGTACTTACTTAAAACCTAAAAATGTCCGCTTCAATAGAAGAGGACATCAGATTGCCTGGAACTGAAGTTATGGACGGTTGTTAGCCACCATGTGGGTGCTGGGACTCAAACCCTGGTCCTCTGCAAGAGCTGGTGCTCTTAACCACTGAGCCATCTCTCCAACTCCATAAAAAAACTTTATTATAACTACTTGACCAAATAAAAAGTTGTTCATTTTTGCTTAGAAATAATATAAGTTTAAGAAGGATGTTGCACTTTCAAAGCATTTGATAATTAATTTTACTATCATAAGGCTTTTAGCCAATGCTGTTTCACCTTAGCTGTCCTAAAACCTTGACCTGAAATGGAATCATTAATGAGATTACTACAAAGAGTCGGTACAGGGTCAAACTCCAAAATCAGTAAGAAAGGCCACATACAACATGATACTATTACCATATTTTTAAGACTGAACAGGTGGAAATAGAATAAACTCTTCCTACAAGTTATTGGAACAGGTGATAATTATGCAGCTAAGCCAGAGATATGCAGAATAGTGAGGAGTGCTGCACAAAGGATGTCCACGCCTCACATGTCCAACAGTCAGCAATCCATCTGAACATCTAGCACGTTACACTAACAGCTGAATGATGCACAGGAGCTAGCCATTAATGTGTGGGTGGAAAACCCAGAGCAGACACATGGTGTACATTCCCCGTGCTGTTCTGCCATTAAGCACATGGAGAGAAAGAGCAGCTCCAAGATGAGGTGGACAAGGGGGCAGGGCCAAACTGCTGTGAACTTTTAATCGTGGATCAGGAATCTCGATTTTTATGAAAGATTTATTTTATTATTTAAGTGTATTGTGTATGTGAATGTGAGTGCAGGTGCACACAAGAGACTAGAAGAGGACACGTGATTCCCTGGAGTACAGGAGGCTGTGAGCTGCTCAACACTGGCATTGAGAACCAAGCTCCTGTCCTCTGCAAGAGCAGTATGCACTGTGAACTGCTGGGCCATCTTTTCAGCCCAGGAATCTAGATTTTATTCTAAGTGTTTTGAGAAGACGTTTTCGGTACTTTATGCAGAAAAGATTTGGATTAGGTTTCAGAGATGATGAAGCTTCTGGAGAGAAAGGACTGAACACGAAACCACAGTAGAGAGAACCAACGAGGAAAGCAGTCCCTGAGTTCAGTGCCGGTTTAAGGACAAGGCTTGTACATCCATGTGTCATATGTTGTAGCTGGGGGACAAGCCTGTAATAAACAGAATCCCAGATGCTAATCCCCACAGAGGAAACAGCATAAAGGGAGGTAAGGACAGTAGGGCAAGAATGCTATTTCATACCAAATACAAGGGAAATCTTCATATAAAAATAACAATGGAGCAGAGCACGGACAGAGCTTGGGGTAAAATCCCCTTGGAAGAAACAAGAGTAACTGCCAAGGTCCTGATAGTCCAGAAGCAGGCCTGCAGCACAAGAGGAAATAGAAGCTAACTGTTACATTGCAAGACAAATGAACTATTACATTCAGGAAAGTAAGTAAGGCATGGCATGAGATCTCAGGAAAAACAGAGCAACAGAAAAAAATCCATGTGACACTGGGTGGATACACAGGAGGAGAAATGCCAACAGAAGCCTGCAAGGAAGAGTACTATGATTTAGTTTGTCTTGTAACACTAGGTGATGTTGGAAACAACTGAAGGGGAAAAAGGACAAAAATCAGGGTTGGAGAGACAGCTCAAGGGCTTTGAGTACCAACTGCTCTTGCAGAGGATTTGGATTGGATTCCCAGCACCCACACAGGCAACTAACAGCCATCCAGTAACTCCAGTTCCAGCAGAATCCGAAGCCCTCTTCTGATTCTGCAGGCATTGCATGACACAGGTGCACTTACAAACATGCAAGCAATACACTCACACACATAAAATAAAAATAATAAAATACAACAATGACTTGAAAGGGGAGAGAGTGCTGATGCGCAAGTGAGAGATTCTGGAGATACTCGAAAGACAGAGAAAACAAGTGAAAGCTCCATAAACCTGAGGTAAGAGACCACGATGATAACTCCAATAGGCTCAAGCAATGCACAGTAAGAAAGCTGGAATAAGTTTTAGCATTTGAACCTAGAGGACTTGTAAGTAAACTATAGAGGAACTGGGGATGGGAGAAAAGAACTTGGGTATTTTTAACTTGAAACACTGACTAGATGCCGGCATAAAAAAAATCAAAACTTCTATGTCAACTATATTAAATGTGTGATGTCTACTGGACATTCATCAAAAGCAACAAATAAGCATTTGGAAACACGAGCATGGAATTCCAGGGACAGAAGGAAGAGAAGAGTCTGCGATTTAGGGGTGACATTTAAAGGCAGGCGTCAGATAAGATCACCAGAGTATGGATGAAAATAATGCAAGGACAGAACCTAGGGCGAGACCACACTGAGGAGCTGCTGTGATATCTGCAGATGCACAGAGAAGCCAGTCATGGAAGCTGAAAAGGAGCAGCTAGAAGGACTGAGCACTGAAGCAAGAAACACACTGAGAAGAAAAAAATGCTTTCGAAGGGAGAAATGGGAGTTTAGAGAGAGGGCAGGAAAAACAGAGAAGTCATCAATGGATAGAACAATACAGAAGCCACTGACCACCCCAGCAGCATTGTGAGGGATTGAGGACTGAAGTCCCAACAGACTGGAGAGAGTCAGAGTTGAGGGAGTGGGCTAGCTAAGGGTAATGGCGGGAACGGTGAAGTGCATTCACATTTGAGGAGGGCGTGAATATTAAGTCCCAGCCACAGAAAAGAGCACAGAATGAACTAGTACAATGTGGCTGGTTGGGATCTGGGCAGAAATAAAGGATTTCTGTCACACTGTTTCTGTTTTCAAAAAAAGCACTAATAAAAGGTCATTTCAATTAAGCAGTAAACATGAGGCCAGGTGTTTTCCTACTACTATATGCCAGGTGTAGCTATTCAATTTGGGAATGTTAAATATATCAGCTACAAGATAAAGTATGTCATAAGCATTTCTTAACACAAACATTAGTAGTTAATTTAAAAAAGTATTTCATTCTATACAATCAAAAGGTACTGCTCTTTACAAACTAATGGTTCAATCATCAAGTACATAAATATAAAAACTAGTTAAAACAAGTTTCTTATAACCTGACTGTAGTGTACTTCACTGTTTGGTGCCTGCCCCCTTCTCCCACTACTGCGCCCACCCCTCCCGTCCAGGAGTCCCTCCGAACAAGTGCAGACTCACATATTTCTGGCGCATTAGCTGAAGGGTAGACATGCTGCCCAAGTGAACAAATCAAAGCTTTCCATAAGATTTCTTTTCACACCAGGTCTCTCTAGTAGCCCATGTTGACCCTGAATTCATAAGGTTAGCATCCTTACCAACCAGAATATGTATACCCCCTTGAGACTAAGGTTAGCATATAAGCAGAAATTAAAAATAAGATTCTGAAAGCCATGTGAGAGGCAGAGAAGGATGACAACATAAAGGGCAAAAGAGAGGAATATGTGTGGAGGGAAAGAAGAAGCTAATTGTGAACACAAGACAAAAAGGAATTCTCTAGCTGTCCAAGTCTAGATCAGTTTGTCCCAGAAGTCAGCACACTTCTTCCCAGCTGAGTACTCGTGCCTTAAGCCAATGAAAATCCTTTTTCTTTTCAAGTGAATTTGGCATGAACATTGTAGATAAATATTCTCCTTTAGGACAAGAGTAAAAGTTCTATGAAAAACTTATGGGTAGGGACATTTCCTGGCCACATGGAGCTGAAGAAAAGCAGATTCCTCTCTCCCCTCTCCCTCCGTTCCCCCTCTCTTCCCTCTCCTCATTCCTCTCTATCTTCTCCTTTTCTCTCCCCTCTTCCTATCCCCCCCCTTTGAGTACATATATTCTTATAGAAGGTGAAGCAGAAAACAAGTGTCACATGAAAAACTGTGTTGATGGATTTTATGGAGTAAATCATGCCCCGTCCAATGATATTTTAAAAGTTTTAATCCTAGTACTTCACAATGTGACCTGATGGAAATAAAGGCTTTGCAGGGGTGATCATAGAAGTGAGCAGAGTGGGCCTGTACCCAAGGGTGTCTGGTATCCTTGTTATGCAGCCACATAAAACACACGGCAGGTGACAATGAAGGCATGAATTTTACTAATGCCCTGGCAAGTCAAGGAGCAGCAAAGATGCTGGCCAGCCATCAGCATCTAGGAAGAAGCAAGCCTGGACCCCTCAGCAGGGTTCAGAGGAAGGGAAACCTTGTAGCATCTCACGAGAACTATGAAGACTATAACATTCTATTGTTCTCAGCACACAATGTGTGGCACTGTCATATGGCAACTCCAGGGCAGGCGATAGCGGCACTGGAGAATGCGCGTCTGACACAACCTTCTCTAAGACTGAAGGAGACTTTTGTGTTAGCATTCCATCAACAATTATCTTTCTAAATTGGAAATAAATCTGATTCCATAATTAACAGACATACTGGCTTCAAGCTGGGCTTGAATTCCATCATCTGCTAGCTCTTCGATATTGTTTCCACATCTACAAGTGAGTATGAAAACAGCACATCCTCACTAGACGGCTGTAAAGATTACGGGAGCCAGTGGAGACATGGTACCTAACTAATCTCTGGCATATCAAAAGAGCTAATTAGTTTTAACTATGATAGCACTGTGACCTTTCAAACTTAAATAAAAGAGGATGTTCTCTAGGATAAAACTGGTCACCTCACCTAAGAGAGAATTCTCTACACAATATTCCATTTTACCCAATTATAAAGGCTAAACATACTAACAAGAAAGAGATTATTTAGTATAGTACTGTTTTTGAATGATAACAGGAGGTCTATTTTACCAATTTTAAAACTCCTGTGTTATCCTGTTTACATGAGAAATTCTAATTTAGAAAAATATGCATATACTATTAAGCTTAATTTATTACATGTAAGTTATAATTGAAAGTTTCTCTATATAACTTCATATATATACAAAAATCAAAAAAAAATGAAGGACTTCTATTAAAAAACTGTCACTTCTATTAAAAACTATCATTTTAATAAAACCAGGATTTTTCAATTCCAATATAAGTCTAAGGCTCCTCTCATTTAGTACCAGTAAAGATTTATTAGCCTCTTGCATTACTGTTTTTTAAAAATGTTATTTATTATTTTTATTTTACGTGTATGTGTGTACTGCCTGCATGTAAGTAAGTGCACCCATGTCGTGCAATGCCCATGGAGGTCAGAAGAGGTTGTCGGATCCCCTGGGACTGGAGTTATGGGCAGTTGTTAGCTGCTGTGGGTGCTTGGAGGTCAGAAGAGGTTGTCGGATCCCCTGGGACTGGAGTTATGGGCAGTTGTTAGCTGCCATGTGGGTGCTGGGATTCAAACCTGAGTCTTCTGCAAGAACAACCAGTGTTCTGAACTGCTGAGCCATCTCTCCAGCCCCACACTACTGTTTTTTAGGTAAATTTGTTTTCATACATTTTTTCCTTCTGTATTTTTGAGAGAGTCTCATGGAATCCAGGCTAACCTTGAACTTGTTATGTAGCTAAGGCTAGCCTTGTATTCCTGCTCCTTCTGCCTCCAGCTCCTATGGGCTGGGATGACAGTTGTGCACCATGATAACCAGCTGTTTTCATACTCTCCATAATGGTTTTTGCAAACTTTTCTTGCAAAACTGAAATTATTTCCAAATAGGTATAACTTAATTCTTTGAACAACACTATCTGAAAGACTTAACACAACTGTAGTCTGAAAAGCAAATAAATGATCAACATTTTGTTTAGACAAGCAAAAATTGCTAATTTTCCTTAAGTATCTGTGAATATATTTTATCATAACTTTTTCTATTTAAGCATGACTACAGATAATATCTTACAGTACAAATTTGCCACAAACATTTGAATATCTTCTTTGTAACCCTCATAATGAATGAAAATCCAAAATGCTTTCATAACAAATTGTTAAAAACTACTTTTGCCTTGCTAAACAGGATGTCAATTATGTATTAAATTTAATTCAACACTGCATATAGTTGTGTCCAAAACAGAATAATACCTATAGATAAGAAGAGATTATGAGATAAGGAAAATGAATAATGAAGAACCTCAAACATGCCTAAACTAAGGTCAGCATAAAAGAATACAGAAGTTAAAAAAAATCATTCAAGTCAAAGGTGTAGTTTTTGAAAGGCCTGGACTGGACTTACCCAGAGTCCTACAGGCGAACAGAGCCATGGCACTCTGCAGTCTGTCTGGCCGCAGAGCCTGAACGACAAGCACCTTAAAACAAAGTGGAGGATTTTGTACATAACAGACTTTTCTTAGCAGCTTTAACTAAACAGTAGCTAATGGTTACTAACTAATGCTTAGAAGAATACATAAATATGCCATTGTTACACAGTACCTTCTATGTGGGAAACTGTCATAATAGGTATATAACTGACTTCTCTTTAACATCAAAGATTACTGAAATCCACTTGCTTCATTAAAACCATTATCTAAAGTAAATGTAGGGTCATAAAGGTCTTCAAAATCCAATGAACAGTCAAGCGGGATGCAAAGGCGGCTGCATACACAGAGCACGTCTAGTGACACCTTGTGGAGGACCAGGAACCCTGCCTGCATCTTACATCATTATGTTTCTGCCGAACCCTGTATGTCTGTGATGTTCCTTAGATGGGCAAATGCTCATTTCTACGTTTTGCAATTTGCTTTTCTAAAAGTACATCTGGTGAAACATAATTCACTGTACAGGAAAACAAAAAGAAATTAGACTCCTTAGCTAACAGTTCAGCGAAGAGGTAAGTAAATCAACTGTTTTCTAAAGTGTCAATTTCTAGAGAGTTCCCCCACTGTAAGCCATCTGCCCAGCCAAAAACTGAAGGGGAACCTGTCAATAGGCTTCATCATTCTATTCTGGAATGGATTTGTAAAAATATTCTTTCCTCAACATTAAACATTTTCCTTAGAAAACTTTGGAAGAGAATGATGAATCTATACCATTTATAGCTTAGTTGCTTTTTAAAAATTTTTTAAATTTATTTTTAAATATTTATGTGCTTTGCCTAAATATATGTAAGTGTACCACATGCAAGCATTGTCTGTGGACACCAGAAGAGGGCATTGGGTCTCCTGGAACTGGAGTTATGGTAGTTGTTAATTACCATGTGAGTGCTGGAACTGGTTCTGCAAGAGCAACCAGGGCTCTTAACCACTGAGCATCTCTCCAGCCCTATCTTAGTTGATTTTTAAAGACTTGTTTTCCTATTGCAATATTCCACTAGGACTAAAGACAGAGAGACCAGCAGGGGATACAGTGGGGGACACTCCACAGAAATGTTGCCAGGACTCTGATAAGGTAGACAAAGCAGAAACCCCTTCCTCCCACATGCCAAAGATTATATTATGCACTAAGGTTATATTATACGCTAAATATAAAGGTTATATTAAACACTAAAGGCAAAGCTTTCATCTAAATGGCATCTCAAGGACAAAAGAAATACCAAAGTTTGGTTTTTTCATTTGGATAACATTAAATTTTACCTGCTGAAATAAAGAAACCTTCTTTGCAAGAATAGATGGAAACTCTTGCTCACACATTGAGTGACCATAGTAAGTACGCCAAAGCGCTGCATCTTCAAAGCAGAGGGTCTGGTAGAGACCAGGGAGAGCAATCTAAAATGAAAATTACCACATGTAATCAGTTGCAAGCAAATACATGCACATGAATATAACTTTAACAAAAGCCAGAGAAGCCAATGGCAGTAGTTACTAACAGACGCCTACACACGTTTTCTACTCGTGTTGGCTTCCCTCATCACTTATGTGTATGCCACTGCATGGCCACTCCCCCAAATTAAAGCCAGTAGCAAATAAAGCACTTCCAAATTAGTATTATATCAATCGATACCTATAAGAAATCTTTTCTCTACACAAAAACATCTGTGCTTGGCTATCTATCTCCACCTTGTGGAGAACAAAAACACTGTCATCGAAACCGAGTACAAATTTTAGGGATTACCACAATTGAGCTCCACGTAAACTGTGAATAATTGTCCAATTTCATAACAAGAATGCTCTTTGACCAAACCCTGTTAAGGCTCTACTGAAGCTTCTTCTTTTAGATTTCAACCTTAGGCTTCATGCCTTTCCTTGTGAATCCAGTTTTAACAAGAAACTTGCACTATCAGTTTAGCAAAAATCCCTATCCTGCCTCTTATCAAAGTCTTCACCCACCCTGGACCACCTGGTTGGCCTTCAACAGAAATGCAGCAGGATGGGTTGGGGCAGCCCTGTCTCCTGCAGTGCTTCCTCCTGGGAATACTGATACCTGTTGTGCATCCTTGTTCATGGACTCTGCCTTCCTGCTTGTCCAGATCATCTTCTCAACTGAGTTCATTCCCCCAACTGTAATAGGTTTATAAATTTTTTTAAATAAAATTTGCCCTACCTTCTGTACAACTCTGGCCTTTTAAACAACAGCCAGTCCTTAAGGATGTTTAGAAAGGAATCAAGGGTAATGGCAGTAGCCTCTATTGTTTTGGAAGCCTCTTGGACCTTTTCCACCAACAACTCAAAGGTAGGCGTCCCATGCCCGGCACTGGGGTTTTTGTTAAATAGTCTATGGCTCTTAAGGAGGAACATTATGGCTCCATGTGGCACAATTCCGTTTAAACTATATGTGTGTATATACAGACGCACACACAGACACACCATATGTATTTTAAGCAAACTTAATGTTTCTCTATGGCTTTTATAAAGATCCTAAGAGTTATTTGTATCTCCTTCCTCTTTCTCCCTGTTTTACCCTCCGGTCTCCTCTACTCAGTTAAGAGTCTTCCCCCAACTTTTCCCTTTCCATTTCTTATCACCTGTGTCCTACTCTACCCCTCTCTATAATTCAAAGGTAAGACCATACTGTTGAAGAAATTACATACTTTGGACCCAGGACTTGGGAGGAATCGAGCCGGAAATGACCAGGAAGCCCCTCCCTGAGGACTGGCTTTCATAGTATGAGACACTATGCAGGTTGCCAAGGGAGAAAACCAATCAATGATCCCATCTGGCTGTAAAGTCTACAAACCACCGACTGGTCTAGCAAGATATCCCTAATGGTGCAATAGAGGAACTATTATCTTGGGGGTAACCAATGGCTGTCAAATTAGACTTAAGGCCAACTCAATAGGAGGCAATTCATGCCTGGTACTGTAAACATAGCCAACTCCCTGAGGCTAGAGAAGTTGTAGACACTAGAGAATGTTCTACTGCCATCTCCCTAAACTGTACAATTTCTAACCATATTCTCAATACTCATCCTTACATCCACGGTGTCACTCTCACCCCTCGTCAAAGGAGCTTCTTTTTGCAGCAGACAGTGGCAACTACAGAGATCCACAACAAGTCAAAATCCAGAGAATAAATGAACACAGGGTACCCAGCCTCAACTGATACATCTAAAATGCAACCCTCACACTGAAGAGTCTAAGAACATTTCAGAAAAGTGATAGATAAAAAAGTAGCCAGGGCTATCCGAACCTTAACAAAAAGGAGTCAGAAAGATTGGAAGAACCAAAAGACCAGGATCCCTGTTGCTGGCTTCCATCTCAGAGATCCACCTGGCTCTACATCCCGAGAGCTATGAATGAAGCCAGGTGCCACCCCATCCAGTTTCAACATATCCATTCTTAAACTCTGCATAATGGCTTGAGTAGAGTAAATCACCAGTAACTGCTAGCCAGTTTTACTGTGTTTATCTGGGGCTACTTAAATACTGAGTTGCTGTGAGGAAAAACAGAAGGGAACAAGGAATCAGATTTTGGAAAAAAAATTTGTCTTTGCTCTCTTAAAAAGATAATCTGTCCTCAGCCATTAAAACATAAATCAGGGAAGGTGGAGATACCACAATAATACTTTGGCTCCTTAAACTGAGAAAACTTTTTTGTTCTATCCACAGCATTATCACATAGACCTAAGTAAGCTGCACATACAAAATGTCAAGAGAACTAAAATATATAAAAATCAAAATGTCCTTAACAGCAGAAAAGAAATACTTTTAATGGAGGGAGGAGAGATGGCTCGCTGGGTAAACTGCTATACATGCATGAGGACACAAGTTCAGACCTGCAGCACACAAAAAAAACGCCTGACACGGTAGGACACCATTGCACTCTACCTCTGCGAGCTGGAGACTGGAGGATCATGGACTCAAGTCGATCAGTGAGGTCTGGGGCCAGGGATAGACCCTGCTTAAAAAGTAAGGTGGGCTTTCATAGTTTTCACTGAAAAGTCAGCTGTAATCCTGATGGGTTTTCCTTAATATGTAACTTGTATTTCTTTTGCAGCATTTAGTATTGTCTCTTTGTTCTGAACGTTCAGTGTTTTAACTATGATGTGCCAGGGAGAGTTTCTTTTCTGGTCCTGTCTATTTGAGGTTCTATATGCTTCTTATATCTGTATGGGCATGTGTTTCTTTAATTTGGGGAAATTTTCTTCTACAATTCCGTTGAAGATCCGGTCCATACCATTATCTTGAGATTCTTCTTCTTCCTGTATGCCTATGATTCATAAGTTTGGTTTTCTTCATGGTGTCGCACAATTCTTGTATATTCCATTCTTCGTGTTTTCTTAAATTTTTCATAATCTTTGCTTGAGTGTTGTAATTCATCCACTTTATCTTCCAGTCTCGATATTCTGTTTTCCATTTCATTCATCCTATTGGTGAGGCTTTCTCCTGTCGTTTCTACTTGTATTACTGAGTGTTTCACTTCGTTCTTCATTTCAGCCTATGTATTCTTCAACATTTCTAACTCTTTTCTGAATCACTGAGTTTATTGCTATCTTCCTTCAGTTCTTTGACGTCTGTTTGTATGTTCTTTAAATTCACTGAATTCTGTTATGTTTATAATTGTTCTTCTAAATTCTATGTCCTGCGTTATCTCTAGGGGGTTCTCATTGTATTCCTCTACTATGAAAGCCAGAACAGCCTGGATCCAAGTATTCCCGGTTCTAAATGACCACAGTTGCCAACTCACATTACTTTACCCAGGCAAAATATCTATTATAGTTGAAGGGGAAAGAAAACTCTTCCGTGACATAAATAGGCTGAAAGAATTCATGTCCACAAAACCAGCCCTTCAGAGAGTTCTTGAAGAAATACAAAGAGCTTAATTAAGAAAGGAACGACTATACCCAAGGGGTTATGGAAAGAATTTCAATGAAGGTATAAATGTGGAAATGCACAGCTATATCAAGAACGTGAACAGAAATAAAAATGACAGGATTATTGAATAATGACAGGATTATTAATAAGTTCAAATATCAATGGACTGAAATCCCCAGTCAAAAGACACAGACTAGGTGAATGGTTTAAGAAACAAAACCAATCTTTTTGTTCTAGGCAAGAAAGCAAGAACAGGTGCTATTTTAAGGTGAAAGGATGGAAAAAAATGGTACTAAGTAAGTGGTACTAAGTGGTACTAAGAAAACAGCAGGCATCGCAATTCTAATATCTGATAAAATAGACTTTAAACTAAAACCAATCAGAAGAGATAAAGACAGCCACTTCATTCTGATCAAAGGGACAATAAACCAAGAAGATATTACTATCATGAACATATATTCACCAAACTCTGGTGCACCCAACTTCATAAAAACAGTACTACAGGATTTTAAGACCCAGGTTAATCCCAAATCATTAATAATAGGGGACATCAATACCCCATTGTCTCCATTAGATAGGTCAACAGGACAGAGACTTAATGGAGAGACATCTGAATTAATACCATATATCAAATGGACCCAACAGACATCTACTGAATATTCCACCCAAGCACCAAAGAATATACTTTCTATTCAGCGCTCTATGGAACCTTCTCCAAAATCAACCATGAACTGGGGCACAAAGCAAACCTCAAAAAAATAAAAAGAAATTGAAATAATTCAATGCATTCTATTAGACCACAATGCAATAAAGCTTAAAATCAACACTGGAAGAACCCCAAGTAATGAACACATGGAGATTAAACAACACACTCCTGAATGGTGAATGGGTCAAAGGAGAAATTAAGAAAGAAATAAAAGTATTCCTGCAATTAAATGAAAAGGACAATACAACACAAAAAAACCACTGGGACATGCTGAAAGCAGTCCATAGTTTACAGCTCTAAGTGCCTACATCAAAAACTAGGAAAGAACACAAATAAATGACTGAACACTGCAACTCACACACTTGAAAAGCAGCAACAAATGAAACCCAAACCCAGAAGACAAGAAGAAATAACAAAAACCAGAGCAGAAATTAATGAAATAGAAATAAGGAAAACAATACAAAGAATCCACTAATCCAAGAGCTGGTTCTTTTAAAAGATAAACAAGATTGATAGAACACTAGCCCTGTTAAACAAAAGAAAGAAAGAGCACCTCCAAATCAACAAAAGCAGAGATGAAGGGGAAACATCACAACAGATACCGAAAAGATACAGAACATTATAAGGGAATACTTTAAAAACCTACATGCTACTAAATTTGAAAACCTAAAAGCATGGGAACCACCAAAACTAAACCAAGAAGATATTAACAGCTTAAACAGACCTACAACACATAAGGAAATTGAAACAATAATACAAAACCTCACAACTAAGAAAACCCCAGGACCCAATGGATTTACAGCAGAATTC